GTGGTGGTAGGGGTCGCCAGCGCCATCAGGTCGGGATGTCATATTCTCTTCACAGTCGACTAGCAGGCACGCACTCGCACGGACTCTCTCACAACGAAGGTGTCGAGTTCGAGGGAAGGGTCGTGCTGCGAAGAATCAATGTGGAATGGTCATGTGCTGCGACTTCCACCAAAGATGGTCTCAATGGAGTGGTTACAAAAACGGGTGCATGCAGTGCAACAAACATCTTTGTGGAGGTCGTCTCTAATAGGGCAGCTTTTGTGCAACTCACCCGACTATGGTCGTGCTCGTTGTTGTGCACCTTCTGTTGAATACCGTCATATTCTCCATCGTGGTTTTACGGTTGGTGGGGCATAAACTTTCAGTTGTGCGTCGCCTCGCATCATCCGCACTCACCTTCATAGTCTTTGTCGATCTGCTGCAAGTGCTCTTTGTGCTTAGACTGGTTGTGGACTGGGAGGAAGACGGTGTGAGGTGGTTGGCTATGGCGGATGGGTGAAGAAGATGGAGGAGGAAAATGGTGCCAGGTGGTTGGCTATGGTGGATGGGTAAAGGAGATGGAGGAGGGAGATGGTGTGAGGTGGATGGCTATGGTGGATGGGTGAAGGAGGTGGAGGAAGAAGATGGTGTGAGGTGCTTGGTTATGGTGGATGGGTGAAGGAGATGGAGGCGAAAGACGGTGTGAAGTGGTTGGCTATGGTGGATGGGCGAAGAAGATGGAGAAGGGAGATGGTGAGAGGTGGATGGCTATAGTGGATGGGTGGAGAAGATGGAGGAGGAAGATGGTGCGAGGTGTCCAATATTCCGTCCTACTTCACGCGTCCGACTTTGTCTTCTAGGTCTTTCCTTGTCCCAGACTTAAAAAAAAACTTCAGACCGGCAGTACTAGTCCTACAACAGATATGCAGAAAGCATAGACTTTGCACAAAACACAAATTTCAGAAAACGCAGTCTTTGCAGATCTGCAGATCTAAAAATTTTGTCGTTTTTGTCATTTTTGCCTAAGGAGGAAAACCGAAAAACATAGGTTTGCATTTCCTAACCTAAACGAGGTCAGAAGCAGTCTTATTTTGGTGGGATCTCTGTTTGTGCCCTATGGAATCACTATACCAAATTTGGTCAGATTCCGTCATCGTTTGCCCCTACTTGCCGTTTTCGGGCGCCGTCCTGACATCAAGGTGAACAATTCGGTAAATTTCATTTCCCGTTTTTGCAGCAAAATGGACTCATATGACCTACAGGTTCTACAGGTCATCTGTTTATGCCTAGGATATGAGGTATGAGAAGTCCCAACCCCCATATCCTTGGTTTGATGGAACTCGGCCAAAGTGTTCCCCGGTCGCATTGGCCCCTTAGTCCCATTTTTTGTCGGTCCGTGCTCCGGAGGTTGGCTATCGGTTTTTCAGCAGCAGTCGCTGCAGCGAGCGTCTTGGTCAGTCATCATCAGCAGCAATAAACATTGTTATGTACAACAACAACAACAACAATAGTCCAAGCAAAGAAACAATAATTTTTCTTACTCCCTATTTACCACGTCTGATTAGAGCACGGGGGTCCTGCTAGGCCATGTGTGTGTCAAGTCGGTTGACCAAGGATGACTCAGACTAACACCAAGTGTGTGAAATGGACAAGGCAAGAATATGACTAGTGAGAACTCATGCATAAGAGTAGTGGGACAACCAAGTATGAATCGGACTATCACCAAGTGCATGAAATTTGACAAGGCAAGAGTGTGACTAGCGAGAACACATGCATGTGAGTGGAGGAACAACCAAGTATGAACCGAGCAATCACCAAGTGCATGAAATTGACAAAGTAAGAGTGTGACTAGTGAGAACACATGCATGTGAGTGATGGAACAGCCAAGTATGACTCATACTATTACCAAGTGCATGAAATTGACAAAGGAAGAGTGTGACTAGTGAGCACACATGCATATGAGTAGTGGAACAACCAAGTATGAATCGAACTATCACCAAGTGCATGAAATTGACAAGGCAAGAGTGTGACTAGGGTGAACACATACATGTGAGTAGTGGAACAGCCAAGTATGAATCGGACTATCACCGAGTGCATGAAATTGACAAGGAAAGAGTGTGACTAGAGGTAACACATGCATATAAGTAGTGAAACAGCTAAGTATGAATCGGACTATCACCAAGAGTATGAAATTGACAAAGCAAGAGTATGAGATCATCCAAACACCATAACAAGCCTAAACCAAAGTTGCGATTTCATGCATGAAAGCCCACGAAGGGAAGTGACGATTTACAAGGGAGTGGAGGAATGGACTAAACAAGAGTGCAAAGATCATCAAAACACTAGAGCAAGCACAAAACAAAGTTGCGATTTGCTATCAAGTGAGAAAATGGAAAGAAAGCGAAAGGTTCACTCACTCTCTCGCATGAAATCACAAAAAAGGAAGTGGTGATTCACAATGGAGTAAAGGAATGGACTAAACAAGAGTACAAAGATCATCAAATCACTAGAACAAGCACAA